ACTCACGAGCAAATAAGATGTGGCTGCATTAAGCCGCTAAACTGTAGAGTGGGTTGTCAGGCAGCTGCAGGGCAGTGGGCCCGTTATCCATCACTTCCAAAGGGTCCCAGTGATAAGAGCAATTCCTGACAGGAATGTGTGCATGCCAGCCGGGAAACAAGAAACAACATAAATGCCTATTAACTTGAATCAAGGCTGGAGGAATCTTGTTGACAGACGGGAACAAGAACTTGGACTCTACAGTCAGCCTGTCTGGGTCCACGTCCTGGGCCTGCCCTTCCCCCTACCCCAGCTGTGTAGCTTTGAGCAAGTCATTTCACCCTCTTCAGCTCTCTGTATCCTCATTGGTGGAATGGACACCAGTCCTCCTTGTCTGTAGTTTCACTTTGTTGGTTCTAGTTACTAGCAATCAAATGTAGTCTAAATTATACTAAATGGAGCAAATGTCCTTGTTATATAATTGAACATATTTTGGCTATATGTCTAGGAGTGGTATAACTGGATCTTGAGGTAGCACTATTTCTAATTTTCTGAAAAAGCACTAGATTGATTTCAACCATGTTTGTAGCAGCTTTATTCATAATAGCCAGAACCTGGAAACAACCCAGATGCCCCTCAGCTGAGGAATGGATGCAGAAACTGTGGTACGTTTACACAATAGAATACTACTCAGCAATTAAAACGAGGAAAATCATGAAATTTCAGGCAAATGGTGGGAACTAAAAAAGATCATCCTGAATGAGGTATCCCAGAAGCAGAAAGACAACATGGTATATACTCACTTATAAATGGATATTAGTCATATAATATAGGATAAGCATACTAAAATCTGTATACCTAAGGAAGCTAAGCAAGGGTAAGATGATCAATCCTCCCTCAGAAAGGCAAAGGGGACAGACAATGGAAGAAGGAGAAAACAGGGAACAGGACAGGAGCCTACCACAGAGGGCTTCTGAAAGACTCTACCCAGCATAGTATCAAAGCAGATGCTGAGACTCATAGCCAAACTTTGGTCAGAGTGCAGGAAATTTTATGAAAGAAGGGGGTGATAGAAAGACCTGGAGGGGACAGGAGAGCAACAGAACCAAAATATCTGGGCCCAGGGACCTTTTCTGAGACTGATATTCCAACCAAGGACCATACAAGGAGATAACCTAGAACTCTTGCACAGATGTATCCCATGGCAGCTCAGTGTCCAAGTGGGTTCCCTAGTAAGGGGAACAGGCACTGTCTCTGACATGAACTCAGGAGCTGGCTCTTTGATCACCTCCCTCTGAGAGGGGAGCAACCTTGCCAAGCCACAGAGGAAGACAATGCAGTCAGTCCTGGTGAGACCTAATAGGCTATGGTCAGAGGGCAGGGGAGGAGAACCTCCCCTATCAGTAGACTGGAGGAGGGCATAGGAGGCAAAGAGGGAGGAAGAGTGGAACTGTGAGGAGATGAGGGAAGGACTACAGCTGGGATACAAAGTGAATAAACTGTAATTAATAAAAATAAATAAATAAATAAATAAATAAATAAATAAATAAATACTAAATGGAAAATACTAGAAATAGCTAATTTTTAACCTCTAAATGGCATGCTGTACTAGCTAAAGTGATGAAATCTTTCATAGCACACCGTTATAAAGGTTCTATTTTTTTATTGAAAGCTTTTGTTCTTTCTTTATCATAGGTGTTTGGGTAGAGGAGAAACAGTGTTTGCAGGCTTCCGTAATTCTTGGGGTTTCTGGCCTTCCCCAAGGTCTCAGAATGACGCGGAGGATAAAGAGGTGACTGCCCTTCCTTGGAGCCACTGTGAGGAGCCCCACCTGAGGAGGCTTTCCTTCTAGTGCTCTGCGGCTTGGCCGGCTGGTGCGCACCCAGCTGTAGGTGGGGAAAGAGGCAGCATGCTTGCTCATAAAGGTGACAGATCAAGAGCAAAATCTTTTCACTCAAGTTCCAGGGTCAGCTTCCTTTCATGCTATTGTAAAAATAACCACTTTGACATTTTATTAAAATTGCTTAAATCTCATTGCTTTAATGAGGTCATGTTTTACTACTAAAAATTACAATTCTAAATGTGATTTAGATTTATTAGATGGTACATGAGAATTCCATTTAAAAAAGAGATGGCATTATTTTGATTATAATTATTATTGCCTTTTGCTTATGAAGCCTATATTTTGAAATGTTTTATGTTCCAGGCTGCTTTTATTATATGGAATTGTTTCCTCATTATCATTTAAAGAGATATGAAGAAACTAATCAGAGTATCTGACAATAGAAATTCATAATAAGATGTCATCAAGAAGTCAACAAACATGACAGTTCCATGAATTTTCATACAGCTAGTGCTGACAACTGAAAAATTCTTACTGGATATTTTATGACCCGCTGGCTAACAGAGAGAGTAGGTGCTCAAACACTGTACTGCCACGTCCTAGCAGACTACCTGCAGCGATGGAACAGTCCCGAAAGCAAACAAAGCAGCTTCCTAAACTGCCCAGAAGTATCACAGAAATCTTGGTAATGATTCGAAGCGCATTCACATATGGATGTAAGTACAGATGCCCATACAGACATGTCCATTGGTCGATGGCACAGTAGGACTATAAAGGCGCATCTGAAGATGAAATGTTTAAAAGCTGCCTCTCTTTTGTAGCCAAGAACTTGGAATATGTATATGTCATTTGAAATACAACACACAAAATATAAGGAACATGTTTTAATACCATAAAATAAGACAAACAAATTAAGGACCTTCTAGCGCTCCAGTTTTCGACTGAGGTACCCGCCTCAGTTTCTCCACTTGAAAGTGGAAGGATGGCAGTACCTAATTCCCAAGGCTCTCTTCTTTGAGCTCAGAGACGTTAACATGTATAATGTGGCAGGACACCGCCCGTCACACAGGACGCGCTCATGGATCTGAACTAAAGGTTTGCCTCTTTAAACACTCCAACCACAGTGTAGCTGAGGCGAGTTCAGCAGTGCCTGCTTCGTAACATAAGGGGCCACTGAGTTTCTGATGACCGACAAGGACTTTGGAAGAACAGACACCATAGAAGCAAACAGTTTAGATGGGATTTAAAACCAGGCATGAGATGTCCAGAAAACTGAAAAGAATTCAGTGGTCACAGGCTTTTCTTCAAATACACCTGCTGCTAGCAAAGGCAGACAGCATCTGGCAGACAGCAGATAAATGTCTTTTGCAGGTTCAGTTGGCTCTGTCCATTGGAGTCATATCGCTGTGAGCCCAAGAAATAACTTTGGTCAGGAAGAATATAAAACTTTTATAAGAAGAAATTACAAAAAGAATAAAATTACAAACTAAGCTGTTAAAGCCATCATTGGGCTTGGTTAACGGAGAGCTTTGGCTGCCATCACAACTGAGTACTGTAACAAGATAGACTGAAAGCTACTGGATTAGCAGCTACTCAGGACCCCAGAAATTCCTAGGAGCAGAACTCTTTCTAACTCCCCCATTGCTTCTGCCTTTTGGGGGCTGTTCCTCAGCAAAAGCCCTCTGAGAATCCTATCCAATTCCACCAGCTGCTTCTCTCATTAACTTACTGTCGGGGTGGAAAAGGCCAACCGGAGATTATTCTAATGATAGCAAGCACCTCATAAAGAAATCTGCCAAGTTTACTTTTCCATAGAACACCATTTTTAAAGCTTTTCATGAGTCCATGAGGAAAGACAGCATCACATATAAAATCAGATTTCCAGAAGTTGAAGATATTAAGAATTATTCCTTCAGCGTTCGGCACGGGGAAATATCACTGCCGTACAGGTTTACCCAAAGGGTAATGTGAGAGGCTCCTACAAAACCGGAGTGTTTTTAGAAGGGCCTGGGAGCGTTTGCGTATGTTACATTTTAAGTGTATGTTTCTGCAGAGCTGCGTTGCATTTGTAAGATCACCTTGCTTTAGTCCCGCAGACAGCAAGCTTGATAGAATTAACCAACAGGTGGGAATGTGTGAATTTTAACAAGCTTCTTAATCTCTGTGTCTCACACTCACAATCTGTAAGGCAAGGAGATTAACAGTCTTGTGGTGAGGGTTGTGGGAGAGTAAATGAGTCCTGTAACACTCTTAAAACGGTAGCATAGTAAATGCCTGATGTAGAGGAGTGTTCAAATAAACGCTCTTCTCAACAACAGAGATGTGAAATCTCAGCACTGGAGATTTCATAGTAGGCCTGGCTTGATTTCTTTGGCTGTGTCCTGAAGAAAATCCTGTTCCGTCTAGTCTAGTAGTTGTCCGGGTGTACGCCTGTCATAGCTCTAGAATCATGAGAAGGGCTTTCCAAAGTCATAGCAGAGAAGCCCATGTGGCCAACCTTTACCCAGATCCCAAAATTCACCGGCATCTCAGCCGCTATGTGCACCCGGCCTCAGCTCTTCCCTGTTTTGGAGCTGAAAGGGAGCAACGGGATCCTGTTACTGGGAGGGAGTCTGTTACAACTTTATAAGTCCCAAGTAACTCCACACCAAATCCCCACAGGTGCCTTGATATGCCCTTGCACGGTGCAAAGCGGCACAGTCATCACAGGCAAGGTTGGGGTGTCTGGCTCTTCTCCAGAAATTACGTCTTGACCTCTGACACTGCTTGCTCATCCATTAGAGTGTTTTCTTCTAAGTACAGTTTGGGGATTTATCTTATATGGCCTCTTTGTGTCGCCTCACCTCTATCCTTCTTGCCTCCAGACACCTAAGTCTGGCAACACGCAGAAGCAAAAGCATCCAGCAGCCGGCCTGTGTATCCCAAGCCTAACACCCCTTACCGGTGCCAAAACCGTGAAGATCTGAGGAGCGCTGTAGCACCCATAACGCTTCCGCCCACCCGCTCTCCGCCCCAATCCCCTAGCCCATACTCTTCTGCCCTTGCAGAGCTGCTAGGCAGAAGCGCTCTTTGGTGAAACGGCGGACCCGCCTCCTGCCGTGTCCCGGGCGCTCGCCTAGCGCCTAGCCCGCCGCCCGGCTTCGCGCAACCGCGCACGCCCCCTCCGCGGCGCACTCACCTGCAGCGGCGACCCGCTGACGTTGCCCGCGGCCGCGTCGGGCCGGTCGGCGGCTCCGGATCCGCGCAGAACGGTGATGTGCAGCGTGAGCAGCAGCAGCCCCAGCAGCAGGAGCAGTTCCGCGGCCAGGCGCACCATCCTCTTGAGTCGCGCGGCTTTAGGACCCCGCGCGGCGGGCGGCGGCGGCGGCGGCGGGGGAGGAGGAGTCGGAGCCCCGGAGCTCGGCGGCGCGGCTCCCGCCTCGGCCCCCGCCGGGGCCCCGGGGCCCGGCCCGGCAGGGCTGGCTCTGGGGGGGCCCGGGGCGCAGGAGCAGTCGACGTAGCGGCCACACCAAAGCCGAGTAACCGCGGGGCCGGAGGCGTGCGAGCCGG